TGAAGTAATCTGTTGCCACTAGCAGGAACTTCCTTTGTCCAGTTACTTGAGGCAGTTGTCCAACAAGATCCATGCCCCATTGGGCAAATGGCCAGGGGCTGGACACTAGGTTCATGTCTGCTGCTGGTTGGTGTATCAAAGGTGCAAACCTCTAACACTTCTCATATTTTTTGACATAGGCTTCAGTATCTTTCTGCATATAAGGCCACCAGTACCCCTGAATAATGGCCCTATGAGCAAGTGACCTGCCCCTAGTGTGGCTTCCACATACTCCTTCATGTATCTCATACAAGAAGTCTTTAACTTGCGAAGGATGCACACACCTCAAAAGGGGACCAGTAAAAGATCTTCTGTAGAGATGCCCCTCTACTGTCAGACTGAATCTTGCTGACTTCAGTCTGATCTTGTGTGCTTCTTTTTGATCATCTGGCAGTTTCCCCTCTTTAAGGAATACTATTATTACATCCATCCAGGTTGGTCTCATCTCTACACACATTGTTTTATGCTCTGTGTTCAGTGATTCTACACTTGGACCTGATAAGTAGTCAACCATTATTGTCCTTGCCTCTCTTAGTTTTATTGCACTAGCCAGGTTGGCCAAGGCATCAGCATAGCTGTTGTCATCTCGGCTAACTTGCTGCAGTCGGTAGTTTTGGAACAATGCTATCAGTCTGCCCACCTCTTTTACATAGGCCACCATCATTTCATCTCGGGCGGCGTATTCGCCTGTTACCTAGTTGACGATAAGCTGGGAGTCATAGAAGACCATTACCACGTCGGCTTCTATTGTTGCTGCCAACTTTAATCCTACTATTAGTGCTTCATACTCTGTTTCGTTGTTTGAGGCTTTAAACCCCAAACGAATGGATTGTTCCAGCATCTGTCCATCCGGCGATACTAGCACTACTCCTGCCCCCGCTCCTTGTCGGTTTGAACTTCCTTCAACAAACAGTCGGAATGAGTCACCAACATAAATACTGTAGGGCCTGAGTTTCTCTTATTTCCTCTGTTTGGCTATCCCCAACTGGGTTTCTTCTGGTTCACCTGGGCATCGTATACCTTGGCTCGACGGAGCCCGATGTATGATGGCGCCTGGTGTGAACTCGGCCATGAAGTACGCTAACACTTGGCCTTTGATTGCTATTCTGGGTCTGAATTCCAAGTCATATTGGCCTAACACCACTGCCTATCTGGCTATCCTGCCTGTTAGATCCCTTTGCTGCAATAGGGACTTCGGAGGGTGCTCAATTAACACCACAATCTTGTGGGCTTGAAAGTAATGATTCAGCTTCTTGGAGGCCATTACCAAAGCTAGTGTTAGCTTTTCGAAAGGTAGATATCTGGTATCTACATCTGTTAGGGTTTTACTCACGTAGTAAACTGCCTTCTGTTTTCCCTTATCCTCATGATTATTACTGCACTGACTGCATGCTCTAAGATCGCCAAGTATAAGAACAGCTCCTCTCCAGGTACTAGATTTGAGAGAACTGGAGCTATGGTCAAGTACTTCTTCAAGTCGGCCAAAGCGACTTTGCACTCCTCTGTCCGTAAGAAATCTGTGGCTTTCTTTACTAGACTGAAGAAAGGTTTGCATTTATCAGAACTTCTTCTTATGAATTTGTTTAGGGTTACAGCCCTTCCAGTTAACATCTACACTTGCTTTGCCGACGTTGGGCTCTCTAACTCTAGAATGGCCTTGATTTGATCCGGGCTTGCCTCAATGCCCTTTCTGGTGACCAAGTATCCCAGGAATTTTTCTGATCCAACTCCAAATGCACATTTTGATGCATTGAGTCGGAGCCGAAATGTCCTTAGGATGTCAAAGACTGTCTTCAGGTCAGCCAGGTTGTCTTCAGGTTCCTTGGTCTTCACAACCATGTCATCAATGTATACCTCCATTGTTTTGCCTATTAGATGCCTGGACATCTTAGTCACCAATCTTTGGTAAGTTGCTCCTGCATTTTTCAACCCAAAAGGCATCACTCTGTAACAATACTGCCCTTTTGGGGTGATAAATGCAGTCTTCTCCTCATCTGGGGAGTACATGGCTATCTGATGATACCCTCTGTAAGCGTCCAGGAAGCTCATCTTTCCATACCCTGAAGTGGCATCCACCAATTGGTCAATCTTGGATAGTGAGAAACTGTCTTTGGGACAAGCCTTGTTCAGGCTAGTGAAGCCCACGCAGACCCTCCACTTCCCATTCTTTTTCTTCACAACCATCGTATTTGATAACCATGTCGGGTAATTTACCTCTCAAATGGCTCTAGCCTCCAGAAGTTTATCCACTTCCTCTTCTACTGCCTCAACATGCATCAACGTCAGCCTTCTTGCTCACTGGATGACAGGTTTAGCTGACCTGTCCACATTTAATTCATGGCAAGTGACCTCGGGGTCAATGCCAGGCATCTCGTACAGTGTCCAAGCAAACACCTCAAGGTTTGCTCTCAAGAATGCTTCTAATTCCCTTTCCTCTTCCTTGGTCAAGCCTGAGCCGAGGAGGAAGAAGCGCTCTTCATCCCCTTGCTGGACTAAGATCTTCTTCAGGGCTTCCTCACTTTTCTCGGCTGGTTCCTTGCCAACGTCCTCAAGGACTTCTATGTCTTCATCTTCAATCTCTGTTGCTTCTGCTTCTCGTATGTTGCAGGTGGATTTCATTGCTGCCATGGAGCAATTCTTTGCCTGCACTTGATCCCCTCTGACCTCCTCAATTCCATACTCTGCTGGGAATCGCAATAGCTGGTGCAATGTTGAGGAAACAACCCCCATTGCATGCAGCTATGGCCTTCCCAGAATAGCATTGTAAGGGGAGGGAGTGTCAATTATTGTGAACTCAGTTTTAACCTTCTTGGTGCCAGCCTGCACATCCAAACTCACTGTTCCCAAAGGCCACGTCGGAGTTCCATTGAACCCGACCATTGGGCCATTGGATTGTTCCAGATCATCTTGGTGCAGGCTAAGCTCCTTATAACATCTGACATACATGATGTCACAAGAGCTACCCTGGTCGATCAGAATTCACTTTACCTAGCACTCTCCAATTTGGAGGGATATCACCAAGGCATCGTTGTATGGATGCTGCACCATCTCTAGGTTATCTTCAGTAAAGGACACCACTGGTCCCCGACAATCGTCTGCCCTAGGTCTCTTCTATTGGACCCGATACACATGTTGTAGGTGTTTTACCTTCTGAGTTTCCCCCTGTATCTCGTTCTCATTCACCTTCAAGTGAATCACATTGATCACTCGAGATTCGCCTGCCTGTGGTTGTGGTGCTAGCGAGGGCGGTGCTGCTGGTGCTTGAGGCAGTCTCACTTGCTCTTCTATTGCCCTGGTCTCATCTATCAGGTCTCTTAAATGACCCTATCTTACCAGGTCTTCCAGATGTGCCTTTAGGGCTCTGTCCATCCTCATTGTGGTAAGCACAATGTTTCCCCAGACTTCTTTCCATAAATTCACCAGAAACTTTTCTGGTGCTCTATAATAGGGCTGATTCCGAATTCTTTCCAAGACTTTGTAGACTGGAATTCGGAATACGGTTGTGACTGCCTATGTAGCCCTTAGCTTCCGTTTGGGAAGTGGGTTGGCTTTTTGGCTTTTTTGGCTATTTGAGCCTGGGGCTCAAAAGCTTGGTTTGGGAAGGACTTTTTGGGTTTTTTGACTTTTTGACTTTTTGGTGAGGTGTCATCCTGTTAAATTACCAAACTGCCCTTTTTGGGTTATGTTTTTTTTTTTTTTTTAATTTTGGGTTTGGATTTCCCATATTTTGCTTAATTTATTTATTTCTTTCTTTATTTTAATTTTGGGTTTGGATGTGGCGTTTTTTGCTTAATTTTTTTAATTTTTTTTATTTTGGGTTTCGGTTTGGCGTATTTTGTTTTTTTAATTTTTTTTTGTTGGGTTTGGATTTGGCGTAGTTTTCGTAATTTTTTTTTATATATATTTTGGAAGTGGATTTGGCGTTTTTTTCTTTCATTTTTTTTAAGTTTTAATTTTTTTTTTATTTTGGGTTTGGATTTGGCATATTTTGCTAAAAAAAATTTTTAGCATTTTAAATTTATGTTTTTGTCTTCTTTTTTTTTTTTACATGAATTAGTTCACATGAATTAGTTCTTGTTCTTTATTTTTATTGGTATAGAAGAACTTTTGTTGTTATTTATGTGTTTCATTTATTTGTAAATTACGTGGCGAATGGTGATTTATGTTTTCATGTTTTTTTTTTTTTCAAATGTTTTTGAATGAGGCGTATTTTTTTCGTTTTTTTTTTTAAATTTACGATTTTGTCATTTTCTTATTCACTCACATTAACTTTTTTTTTTTAATTTTTAAAAAATGGATTTTCTTTTACGATCTTGTGAATTTTGGTTTTTCAAAGTTAGGAGCGTCACCAAGTGAAAGGGGGTATATCCCTGTGTAAACACATACATATTGGGGGTGTTTGTTTCAGCTTTTCAGAGCCAACTTATGGCTTTTAGTTTTGAAAAAGTTATTTTGGACTGTTTGGTTATACTTATTTCAAACAGCTTCTGATTCTAACAGCTTATTTTAACTCAAAAAAGCTGATTCTGAGAAGCTGCTCACCCCTTGCTTCTGATTATCAGCTTCTGCTGTGGACATGTTAATTTATGGTTACACTCTTAAATTTTTTTATTTTTTATTTTTTTTGAAATAGAAAAAGACTCAAATGGACTATAGATTATTATTATTATTTTTTATGAGAAATGTAGACAGACAAAAAATAAAAATTAATTGAAAAAGCTATTTCACAGCTTATTTAACAAACACTACTTAGCAACTTAAATCTATAATCCAACAGCTACACCAAACAGATTAACAACTTCTGATTAAAGTCATAATCTATAATCTGTTAAGCTATAATCTATAAGCTATTTTAACAGCTACACCAAACGGGGCCATTGTACATGATAATATATTTCAATATAGTCTGTTCCACGTGTGTCATTAGTAATGTTACAACCCTACGGAAATTAGGTCCACTATTATATATTTCCTAACACTCCGTTATTACGCATGTAACATAATTTGTCGCGTATGTGAAGGCGCACCAGTGCCATATGCGAGTCCTCATCCCCAACCATTAAACCATCCTCGTCATGTTCAACTTCTGGTATGGCATTTACTATTGTCATAGCCTCTTCCTCGTCACAGATTGGGTGAACAGTTGTTGGGTTACCTGTGTTGCGCCGTATATAATTATGTAATGCCATTGATGCACCTACTAACTGAACTTGCACATTTGCAAAGTCATACCGAGGCATGTCTCGAATAAACCCCCATCGATTTTTCCAGGCACCGAAAGTGCGTTCCACCACACTGCGTAAGGACGAGTGCACTTTGTTAAATAATTCCCTTGGCGTGTTTGCCGTCCTGTTCCGTGCAATACGTCGAAATTCTTGTTGGTAGTAACGGTGCCCTTTGAATGGTGCTAAGTAACCTGTCCGGTTTGGATAACCAGAATCGACAAGATAATATTTCCCTGCAGACATGACAACAATGTATGACACCAAAAATTCATATCTGTGCCCACTAAATCCACAACCATTGGCATGTGTTACCTTCGTCAGGATGTGGGAATGGGACATTGTCATTTGGTATCTCGTTGAATATGTGACTATCATGCATACTTCCTTCCCATCCGCACGAAATGAATATGAAACACATGTCGAAATCGACTGCGGCCATGATATTTTGCGTGTGACAGTATTTCCTACCGAAATATGTTGCTGCATCTAGCACGGTAACCCATGCACTTACATGTGTTCCATCTATTACGCCAATGCAGTCCTGCAAACAACCCAATTATTTTGTTGCTTATTAGGGTATACGATGTTTTGTTTTTTCCATACGTCACGTCCAGTTAATAATAAAAACAAAATAACTAACACTCTTTATGTATATGTGAATAATGTATTTCAGTAGTACCTTGAATGGTAGGTATTTCCGTCTAGACTGTACGTATGGATGTATATGATGCTGATTGTATGTGGGCCGGCAATGAACAATAGTGAACTCCTTCATGGAAGTTAATACGTTATGCACGTGCCGAGACACAGTCTCCCCCGAATGTTGGAACCGTTCTTAGATTTCCCGATTTTGCTTCCCTTTCAACACATGGATAAACATTGCAACGCTTTCTTCAACAGCTAAACCATGTGGACGTTGCGGGACTTGTAACCCAAAATCATTACTAATGTCTGACACAAGGCGACAAAAACTTCCTTCGGCATGGACACGTTTTCCTCAAATCGGCCCATATGGCCCGCATATAGTTCGGATATCCATGCATTCCCGGTCAGTATAGAAATGCGACATGGCATTTTAGCCATGTGTTTTTGGTACCACTCTGTCGCATACTGGCATGCTTGTAGAAATGTACAGTTGTGTTCTTGTTGCACCTGGACTGCCATTTGATTAAGCATTTCCGTTATTCCGTCATTGTTGCTTCCATCCATGGATTCATTACGTCTTCGTTGATGCGAAACGTACAAGAGTCACACTGTTTCAATCAGTTTGTTTCCCCTTCATCGAGTCAATAAATTTGAAAATGTGCAATTACAAAATTCGAAATGTTGATAATAATTTAAGGACTGCTAAACTTGTAGATTTTTCACACATAATGATATGAAAAATGGAAAAATTGTAAACCTACTAAACTTGAATTTACAGGGGGACCATGGTGGTGACAACCACAAAAGTTGACGTCAAATATGAAACTAACAGCGAACTTTGCAAAATATAAACATACACAAAGCTAGCAAGCAAATCCGTTGTTGCCTTTCTCGAAAATATCCATACATTTAATTTGAACAGAAGCATCCCATTCATTTCTCAGAAAGCGTGCACAAACATGCTTCCATTGTGTCAACCCATCCACTGAACTACAAGTTTTGGAAACCATAGGTAGCAAGAAAAAACAAAAACGAAGGAAAAAAAAAAAACATGCACACACAACCATCCTGTTTTAATACAGTGCCAACAAATTAATAAGTAAAAGTTTTTAGAATGCAAGAGAAGGAAAGGCATCTTCAACACTCGTAACACCGATACATCACATCCGGCGAGCCTCGAACAGATTTGCGAAGGGTGCCGACGCAGCACACTAGAGCTGCTTCTGGGTAAGCCATCCTATGATAGAGTCGTCATCAGGTTGGCACATCATCACCTCCCGCAAATCGGCGTTATCCATAAGTGTCGAGGCGAAGTGGAAAAACGGCATACCAACCAGCGATGTAATACCTGTCAGGTGATGCATGCACTCCGAAATAGTAAACAGCGATTCGTTGCCTGTGAGGTGCCTCACCGTAACCTGCTGATTCTTCGTTCGCACCACATTTGTCAGAGTGTTCATGTTTTCCGCAATAACTGACGCTCCACTTGTTGCCTTCTTGGACTTTGAAACACTACTTGATGGCGTCTCTCTCTTTTTCCCCTTTTCAATCGGAACATGCTCCAGTGAAGAATCTGAATCCACGTCCTACACTCCTGCGGGTATCGGAACTGCAAATGGCTGGGCTCCCAAACTATGCACTGAATCAGATGAGTCATCAGCAGCTTCAGGAAGTTTCTCGCCCGGGGTCCAATGGTGCTTACCAGTAGCTGATGCCCCTATGAAGACGGTCTCCATCAACTCACGATGTTCCAAGGTTTTTTTTCTTAAACTTGGCACACTCCTTGTTTATCTGTTGAAATAGAGATATATGAAAGAGAATGATGTTACATTTCATATAATTGAAATAGAGATATATAAAATTTAACACATTGAGGGAAATACTTCTCGAAGAAGGCTCATTTAAATTGAGCCCAAGTCATTACGGTGTTGTTATCACGGATAAGCATCCACCACCTTCTGGCTTCTTCTTGCAGAGTAAAGGTGGCCAGTAGCACTTTATGTGCTTCAGAGCACGGAAAAACCTCAAACAATTTTTCAGTCTCAAGAACCCATGCTTCAGCCTTTAACGGTTCAAGGCCTCCCTGAAAGGATGGCGATTTCATTTCACTGAACTTGTGGGTGAGAGCAATTATGTCCCCATCATTAACATTAACATTCTGTTCCGGCTGTACCAGAGGAGGAGGTGGGGGCTATTGATTCTGTTGTTGGTCCAGTCTTTCAGTTATTAATTTTATCATTCTTTCCAGTCTTGCCATTCTTGCCTCAGAGGATGAGGTTTCAGATTCATTTGCAGTTCTCGCATTATCCATTTCACTATAGACAATTATAACAGTTATCAACATAGGTAGTCGTTTATTTAAACAGATTAACACATTAGCATATATTCAGTCATGTCATAGCCACACACTTATCATGCTCATGTGATGCCCTATTTACTTTTCTAGGACACCCTATAGCTCATTTGGACACGTGTGTGCGGTATAACTCGTGGTAAGTATCGCTCTGATACCACTCTGTCACGACCTAAACCCGCCCCTATGGGTTTAGCACCGTAACCGGCCAGTAATCTGAGATTACCGAAGGCCTGCTTAACAGTAGTACAGTAAGACAGAGTACAGGGGCTGGCGGAAGCCAATACAGTAAATAAATAGTGTCCAATGAGCTGTGACAGTCTGTATGCAAAAAGACTTCTTTCAAATATATACAGTCAGACAAAACAGTATTTACATATATACATTCATTCAGTTCAGGGACCTAATCCTTATTAAACAGTACAGTAACAGTCTATACAGTTGCACCAAAACAGATACAAAGACAGACGGAGAAATTAAAAACACCCCTAAGCCGTAACTTGATAGGCTCGGAACCTCGCATTGAGGCACGTAGGTTGGCTTGACAAAACTGGAGTTTACCCCGATGCTTCTAGCTGCGGTCTGGTGTCTGGACACCTACACATATATATGAGCAGTGAGCTAAAGCCCAGTGAATAACACAATGCGTAAAGGGGTTAAGAATGAATGTCCTTACAGTAATGAAAACAGTTCATTAAATCAGCATTTCAGTCGTTCAGTCAGTACAGTCATATGTGGTACATCCATTAGCATAACAGTACAGTAAATAGTAGGTCTTAAAAAACCGAACAGTAATGATGGCCATCAGTCAGTAAATAGTAGTGGTTCCAACAAGGGAACCGACAGAGATCTCTAAATTTGAAAATCTAGTTAAGCTTTGATAGGAAAAAATGTGAACACCCCTTTTTTGTGATAATTATGTATTGCTATCATAATTTTGGTCATCTTGTTAATTGATCTTATAATTTTGGTGCTTTGCTGGTTGGGACTGTTCAATGTCTTTGGAGGCATCGACACTTTTTGATGCCTCTGACCCTGTTCGATTAAATGGGGATTCTAACATAGTTGGGGGATTTTGCCTTGTCTTTCATGTAACATACTTTTGGTTGTTCAAGTACAAAACCTCATCAACTTTAGCATTTATAGTTGGTTTGCGGTAGTATATATATATATATATATATATTTTTTTATTTTTTTTTGTATTCTTTTATAATGAAGATTTTTTATTTGTAATTATGCTAATAACAATAATTTTTTTTCTTGCTTTTTTTCTTTTCAATGGTTGGAATATGAACATTGTATTCTAAGCATTCCTTGCATTCTCAAACACTGAATTTTTTTTATTCATTTCCAGGTAAACCACACAAAAAGAGAGCTGCACAATGTCTTCATTAAAAAGCTTTACAGGTAACAGTGTGAAGGTAGTGAATTCTTTTAGGATTAGAATATTGCTTTTTTTCAATGACTATGATTATTTTAGGATATTGTATTCTTTTAGGATTAGAATACAATATCCTAACTGTACAGTGAATTATTTTAGGGTTAGAATATTCATTTCTAGGTAAACCACACAAAAAGAGAGCAGAACATTGCTTTTTTTCTTTACAAATGACTATGTTCTTTTAAAAGCAGACTTTAGATTATTGATATTCTTTTACTAATGATAACTTTAGCTACTCAGCTTAACTGTACTGTATTTATTCTTTTACTATGATGTTTGGGAAGAAGAATACCATGGTTTGGGAAGTGAGTTAAGTTTGAAGTTCATCTTGAAATGTGTTTAATCATTTGCATTTCAAACACAAATACATTTCACCAAACTCGAGTGATGCACTTATCAACTTTTTGAATTCAATTTTTTAAAAACTTATTTTTTTGTTTTTCGTGTCTTTCATGTGGCAAATTTATGAAGACCAAGCTCTAAAATGCAAGAGTATACCATGCATGCAATAATTAAGCTTCAATTCAATACTTTTGAGCCAATTCGTGATTTAACCCTTCAATTAGACATGAACCATGCAAGAATCAATTTAAACACAATAATGAGGGGTTGAATTTCCTTACCTAGGTCTTCAATTACAAGAGTAGAATTTCAATTTAGGCAAATCTCCTACAAATTCTCCAAGTCTTCAAGCTAGACTCTCACTTCCTTGGTCGGTTGTGTGCAAGAAATGGAAGAAGAAATGTTTTGTTTACAAGTATACAAGCCTCCAAGTATGTTGCCTAAGTGATCCACTAGGGATGGCAAGGTTGTAATTAAGCCAACTATTGCAATTCAACTCATTTTAATCCAATTTAATCATACCAAAACGATTTTCAGATAAATATGCCATAAATTCACATAAATCACGATGATTATAAAACACTAATCGGTTTCCGGTTCGGCCGCCGATAAGGCCTTCAATTAGCAGTTTAAACACAAAGACACGAACAGATAATCAAATAACCAACAGATAGAATTACAATAAAACAGGCATACTCAGTCAATTCAGTTTCAATTTCAGTCAGTCAGTTCAGTAGTTCATTCAGTTCACGTATCAGTCATAATCAGTTTCAGTTTAACGGTAATCAGTGGTTATTCGGTAAACAGTGACGAGGGTTGTTATAGTCTCCCCTCCTTAAAAGGAGTTTAGTTCTCTAAACTTGAGTTACCTTCGTTTTGGAAGAAAACAGGATTCAGTGGAAACAGTTCAGGATATCTTTTAGCCATGTCATCTTCCCTCTCCCAAGTGGCATACACGCCACCGTGGTTTTGCCCGTCAACTTTCACTAACGGAATCTCTTTGTTTCTCAACTTCTTGATCCGTCTGTTTACAATCTGAATAGGCCGTTCCTCGTAAGTGTAGTTATCACTCAGCACTACATGAGTAGGCTCTATCACATGGAAAGGATCCCGGAGGTAGTCCCTCAACATAGAAATGTGGAAGACGTTGTGCATATGCTCCATTTTAGGAGGAAGCGTAACTTGATACGCCACCGAATTGATTTTCTCAATAATCTCATATGGTCCAACATATCTCGGCGCTAACTTGCCTTTGACTCCAAAACGAGTCTGGCCTTTCATCGGTGTCACTTTCACAAACACGTGATCACCCACTTCATATTCTCTATCCCGTCTTCTGACATCAGCATAACTTTTCTATCTGCTCTGTGCGGTTTTCAGTCTCTGTTGTATCAGTTTCACTTTCTCAGTCGTTTCGTATACAGTCTCGGGCCCAAGCAAAGACCCATCTCCAACTTCTGCCCAGCAAATCGAAGATCTACATTTTTTGCCATACAATGCCTCGAAAGGCGCCATGCCAATACTTAAATGGTAGCTGTTGTTGTAGGCGAATTCAGCCAATGGCAAATGGCTTTCCCAATTTCTCTGAAAATCAAGGACACACATTCTCAGTAAATCCTCCAGAGTCTGGATGGTCCTTTCTGACTGGCCATCGGTCTGAGGATGATAAGCACTACTCAGTCTCAATTCGGTACCCAATGCAGTCTGTAAGCTTTGCCAAAATCTCGATGTAAACTTCGAATCCCTGTCAGAAACAATGGACACAGGCACTCCATGCAGTCTAACAATTTCATCAATATAGAGTATAGCCAATTTGTCTGCATTATAAATTGTCTTAACAGGTAAGAAGTGAGCAGATTTAGTCAGTCTATCAATGATAACCCAAATTGAGTCCATACCTTTACTGGAGCGAGGCAATCCCACAATAAAATCCATGATGATATGCTCCCATTTCCACTCTGGTATCGGTAAGGGCTGCAATAAGCCTGCGGGTCGTTGGTGTTCGACTTTGACTTGTTGGCAATGAAGACATTTCGATACAAAGTCAGCAATTTCTTTCTTCATTCCCGGCCACCAGAAATTTAGTTTCAGATCTTGATACATTTTCGTATTCCCTAGATGTATAGAAAATTTTGAATTGTGGCCCTCTTGCAGAACTCTTCTTTTCAATTCAGTATCATTTGGTACACACAGTCTTTCTTGAAATTTCAGTACATTTCTTTCAAATTTGAAACCCGGTCTTGGTCTAGTTTCCCTTTCTTCGATGATCTTCTTCAAGAAGTCATCCAGTTGCTTTTTCTCTTTAATCTCTTCAATCAATGCCGGTTGAGCAGAAATAGCAGCTACGGTTCCACCTTGTTCTCGCAAAACAATTTCAATTTCAGATTTTTCAAGGTCACAAAGCAATTCTTTCTGCCCGGTAAGCAAACAGGCTAAATTTCCAGTCGATTTCCGACTTAGTGCATCGGCAACGGTATTGGCTTTTCCCAGATGGTACAAAATCTGTAGGTCATAATCTTTAATTAGTTCTAGCCATCTCCGCTGTCTCATGTTCAGTTCTTTCTGTGTAAAGAAATATTTCAGACTCTTGTGGTCGGTAT